GAAGGAAGGAAGGAAGGAAGGAAGGAAGGAAGGAAGGAAGGAAGGAAAGACAGACTTATTAAATGCCTACTATGTACCAGTCACTCAGCTAAGGGCTTTACAAATGTCATTTCATTCCATCCTCACCACAGCCCTGGGAGGTAGCTTCTGTTATTATTCCGTTTCATAGATGAGGAAACAGAAAAACAGAGGTTAAGTGACTCGTCCAGGGTCACGCAGCTAGTAAAGCTCTGAGGCCAAATTCAAACTCAGGTCTTCCTGACTCTAGGTGTAGTGCTATAATCCCTGAGCCACCAGAGAACCTCTCTCGGGTAGACTTAGTTGATCCAATAGGTCCCACAAACAAGAGTCCTCGTCTGATATACTTAGCCTCTGAGCAAGCTTAGGTTTAAATTAATCTGAATTAATTATGGCCATACCACTTTTAACAGAAGCTGATCCTGGGGTCACATCTACTTAGTTTCTGGACACAGAACCGCCCAATATGCCATGGGGTTTACTATGGGAGGTATGTGGCCTTGGGCGCCTTGCTTAAACTTCCAGGCTTCACTTCCTCATCTGTGAAATGAGGGCTGAACTAGGTGACCTCATACTCCCCTTTCAGCTCTGGATCTAGTATCTTATGATCTTAAAATGGCAAAAACAGGCTTTCCCAAAGCCTTTCGATCAATTTATCTGGGATCTGGCCCAGTTTGATCCTTGGAATGACATCATAAACCTTGGTGTAATAAAGTAAAAATCAGCCCCTGGCAGCCTCACTTCCCATCACTAGTCACAGGTGAGCAGACACCGGGCCTACTATGACGCGTCAAAAAAGATTTGGCATTTTAGGTCTCTTTTTTCATATTTTTTTAAGAGACTGGGTTTCCCTCTCTCACCCAGAATGAAAGTGCAGAAGCTACTCATAGACCTGGTCCCATTCTGATTAGTGCAGGAGTTCTGACCTGCTCTATCTCTAGACAAGGCTGGTTCCAACCCTCCTTAGGTGACCTAATTCAGAGCCTCACTCTTCTCCCAGGGTCCCATCATATTTATGCTAGACTTCGTGCAGACATGCTTTCAGCTTAGCCCACTCTAGTTCAGAAGTCTAAAGGTCAAGCACTGTCAGTCCCAGCCTTTCAGGTAGTACCACAACTTCCAGCTGCATTTATTTATTCTTTTTTAAGACTGACTGACCGGGCATTCTGTTCTCTAAGAGGAAATTATAAGGAAGATGCACAAAGTTTGCAGGGAGATGTATTGTTGAGTCATTTCACTTGTGTCTAACTCTTTGTGACCCTATTTGGGGTTTCCTAGGAGGAGGTACTGGAGTGGTTTGTCATTTCCTTCTTCAGTTCATTTTACAGATGAGGAAACTGAGGCAAACAGGGTTAAGTGACTTGCTCAAGGTCATACAACTAGCAAGTATCTGAGGCCAGAGGATGAGTCTTCCTGATTCCAAGCCGACCTAACTGCCTGAATCATTCATTAAGCAAAAGTAAAGGCTGATCTCCTAGGTGAAGAAGGAAGTTAACAAGCATTTAGTAAGCACCTACTATGTGCTAAGCATTGATCTACATGGTTTACAAAGGTTATCTCATTTGATTCTCACAACAACACTAGGAGATAGGTGATGCCTACCTATGATGCCCATTTTACAGATGAGGAGACTGAGAGACAGAGGTTAAGTGATTTGCCCAGGGATCTCACAGCTATCTTAGGTCCAATTTGAACTCAGATCTTCCTGACTCCTAACCTGATGCTCCATCCATTGGGCCACCTGGTGTCTCTAGATAGACAGTGTGATGTAGCAAAAAGGCTGTCAGGCATCAGGCCAGCCAACTTGGGCTCATCCTAATACCCTCCCAGATCTATCTAGGTCTCAACTATCTTTGGACCACAGTCCAATCACTTTATTAGTTTTTTTACCTACAATAAGAATAGTGGTCTTTGCTTTACCCAGCTCACAAGGTTAATGACTCTGGAGTCAGTGAACCTCTGATACTTTGACTTCCCTAGCCTCAGTTGTTGCTGAGCATCCTGAGGTTCCATCCAGCTCCGGACCTGGAATCCTAGCCATCCTTAAAGTGCTACAGAAGTGGGAATCATTTCCTTTAGCCTCTTGAGGAAAGCCCCATTGAGCAGCATTCTTGGGGTTGCAGCGTGTCAACCTTCCATCACAGGAGTCTGGGGCTAACACCCTAAGATCTAAAATGTCATAGATCATTATTTCAAGGAACAATAGAATTCACTGTAAAAGTGAATGCCCAAAAGACAATGAGGGAGGCCTGACAATGAGCAGATAAAAGACAATGAGGGAGGCCTGACAGTGAGCAGATCCAGAAATGCTCAACCCTTTCATGGCAACTTTTCACTGCAGTTAGCACCACTTTGTAAGTAAATATTCTAATTGCTGCTCTAAGTGAAAATTATCACATGAACTGCCACTCTCTTGAGAAGAGTTTTGCTTCAGGGAGCCTTAAATGAAGGGAAACTATGTAATTTAAAACAATGACCATATAAGTCAAAAAAAAAATTATTTGGATCAGTGAAAATGGAGAGGAAGATTAATGTATGTTCTGGAAAACACAGTCAATGATGGAAAACTTCCCACCTCCCTCATTGGAAGCCCCAAAGGATGCTGAGAAGAGACTACCACTGTCTTCCCCAAATTACAGTCAACTTTCCTTTATTAATAATGATAGCTGAGACTTTGATTCATTCACCTTGTCAAAGCTCAAAGCACTTTGCATCTATTACCTTTTAGAGTCTTGAAATAAAACTGAGCTATTTGGCACAGATATTATTCCCATTATATAGGAAAGGGCAGTGGACCTAGGTTCAAATTTTACTTCTGATGTGTTGTATGACTTTTGTGACTGACAGCAAATTACTTCCTCTTCTCTACTCTTCTCTTCTCTCCTCTTCTCTTTTCTCATCCTCTCTCTCTCTCTTTTTCTCTCTCACTCTTCCCAATATGTAAAATGAGGGGGTTAGACTACATATAGTAGACTAACCTTAATAATAATTTCAAATGCTATCCTCTTTTGTATTATTCTTTAAATATTTAAATGTCTGTGTTTATTGTTTCAAAATTACCACTTCCTTCCAATGTCTCAGGTTCATAATCTTAGCACAATCCTGAACTCTCACTCTCCCTCACCCCACAGAGCCAATCAGTTGCCAAATCTTGGTCCCTAACAGTTCTAATTCTATGGCCCTGTGATCTGATCATTCCCATTTTACGGGTTAGTAGACTAAAGTTTGGAGACACTAAGTGATTTTTTTCTAGTAACTGTCCAAGGTGAAATCTAAGGCCAACTCTTTCCAGATTCTAGATTCAACACACTTTCCACTATGCCATACTTGAATAATTCATTGTAACAGTGATTTCAGTGATTTGGGGGATCCCTCCACTTTCACAGACCTCAATCCACCAGTGACTTTTTATCTTAGACAATTCTTGTCTGTGTCCTTAAATAAATCCTTTAAAGAAAATTCACCCTGTGTGCTAGAGGCTATTTCTAAGTGTGCTATTTCAGTATACTAGGACAATATCCAGAGAGTTCATTTGTTAGCCTTTGCTCTCTCTTCACACTGTAGCATCTATTTTTCTGATCACACATGTGCACTGAACTTAGAATAAGGGTGTCTGGATTCAAAATCTGCCCCAGGAATTGACAAACTGAATGAAAAAAATGGACAGATGAATGAACCAATAAATCAATGAATGAGAAAAGCTGAGGGCCCATGGCAGGGCACAGATTGCCTAGTACTTCCCATGCTCTGAACGCTGCTACTCCTATCTACATAGCCCACATCCACGTTAGTCCTTTTGGCTGCCATGACACACTGCTGACTTAGGCTGAAGGCAGTCCTGCATTTAGAACTCTACCTCTGCCTCTGAACTACAAATAGACACAGGTGGAAGAGTGAATTCACTACGAACAAAATATGTGGTACTGAGAGATACCCAGGGGGCCAGCTCACCTGAATGGCGGCCAGGTTCTTCTGCTCTGGGGTGGGTGCCTCATGAACAAAGCGCAACCAGTTAGAGAAGCGTGGGTTGCTGGCATCCAAAACGTAGAGGACTTGGCCCTTACTTCCACGCACCTGGAACACAAAAGAGTCAAGTATATTATTGCTTTCCATCTTAATCAGAATAAGCAAGCTAAAGCTGATTAGCATGCAGAAAATCACATAGAATTAGAGACCATTTTCATTTTTTCCTTCAGTAGATTTTGAGTGGGGGAGGCTAGAAAGATAGAAAGGGAGCAGGTTGTAAAGGATTTTAATAGGTAAAAAGAGCAATTTATGTTTTCTCTAAGAGATAACAGGGATCTCCTGGAGTTTATTGAGTAGGGGAGTGATATGGTCAGATCTGACTTTAATAAAAATCACTTTGGCATCTGTGTGCAAGGTGGACTGGAGAGGAATCAGAAAGACCAATTAGAAGGCCTTTGCAATTGTCCAGAAGAGAGTTACTAAGGTGGTAGCCATGTGAGTAGTGAGGTGGGAATGGATATGTGATACTGCAGAGGAAAAATGACAAATTTTGGCAACTACTTGTTTATTTGGGGTGAGAATGAGAGGTCAAAGATAATGGCAAGATTGAAAGATGAGAGGGAGAGAGGTACCCAAGACAGTAATAATACTTCTGGAAAGCATGTATCAATAACCTATCATATGGTACCATTTACCATGACTGTAACCTCCCAAATAAAAACATCCTTCCCCAGTAGAAACTCTCTTATGTGTATTGTCTCCCCTTACTAGACTAAATGATCCTTGAGGATAGGAATGGTCTTGCATCGGTATTTGTATCTCCAAAGATTATCACAGTGCTTGGCACAACATAAGGTCTCTAGAAATCTTTTCATTCATTCTTTCATTCATTCATGCCTAGTGTCACAGTGCCACTGAATGTCAGAAGCAAGACTTGACCTTCACACTTCTGAACTTCCAGGCCAGCTCTCCCATGCTCACTCTGGGTGCCTCGGGTTATTTGTTTGGCTCTAGGCCAATACCTAGTTGCAAAGGAAAAGACTGCAGATGTGCCCCTTAAGGTGATGGAAGGACTAAGCCACCACAGATGTTTTCCCTTAAGAGGAGAACAATACTTACAGCACCTATTGGGAATCATAGGCTTGGGAGCTGGAAGGAAAAGCATTACCTAGCACCACCCCCTCATTTTTCAGAGATAGAAGCAAATCTTTGCAAGGGAAAAAAAAGAAATAGATGGACAGAAATGAAATAAATGAGGAGTTTGGGAAACACATCACAAGCCTGACAAAGAGGCATAGTACTGTAGTGATCTAGGGACTTCAATTATGCTGATATCTTCTGGAGTGCATTCTCTCTCTGCCAAAAACAGAGCAGCTGATCACTTCTGGACTTGCCTTAATAATCATTTCCTCCTTCAAAAAGAAGGTGAAATTAAAAGGGGAAATTCTATTCTGGAGTTGATCCTCACTAACAGGGAGGTGCTGGTGGCTAGGGTGGAAATGATGGTAGTAGGGGAAATTCATCACTCGCTTTTGAGATAGAGGAGAAGAAAGCCAGATCCAAGATATGAACGGTCAAAGAATACGAACAGCCTCTTTTTGAAAGAAAAAAATCAAGCTTTCAACAGCTATATGAAATTAATGAGAGATGCAAATGAAAACAACTCCCTCATCCTATCAGATTGGCAAAGACGACAAAAGACAATGACAATTATTAGAGCTGCTGTTGGGGGACACTCTTGGTGGAGTGGTAAACTGATCCAATCCTGGAAAGTAATTTGAAACTATATGCCAAAAGTCATTAAACTATCCATTCCCTTTGACAAGCATCGCATCTCCTGGGTATATATTCCAAAGGGGACAAAGACAGAAGGAAAGGATTCAAATGCAGAAAAGTACTTATAGCAGTGTCTTTATAGCAAAAAAAAAAAAAAGAACTAAAGTGGGGGCCTATTGAATGGAGAATTGCTGATCAAAAATGATACATAAATGTAATGGAATGTTATTGGTCCATATGAAATGGCTAAGGGGTGGATTCAGAAGGGGAAGACTTCTATGAATGGATACAAAGTGAAGTAAATAGAACCAGAACACTTCACAATGACGATAAAAATGTAAAGGAAAATCCCTCGGAAATACTTATTTACTTTGATCAATGTAGTGACCAATTACAACTGCAGAAGGCAGCTGATGAAGCATGAACCCCCTCTTCTAGGCAGAGGGATGACAGAGTAAAAGTATAGAACATAACATATTTGCAGACATGGACAATTGGTGGATTTGCTTGCTTAACAAAATTTATGTTATAAAGGAGGACTTCTATAGGGGAGGGAGAAAATTGGTAAGTAATGAGTGTGATTTTTAAAAAAAGAGAAAAGAAAGAAAACGTAATCGAAAAAATACACAGAAGAGAACAGAAAAATATTCAGAAGGAAACAGACAAACAGAGAAGTTTTGTTATGATCTTATGAAACTTAATACACATATTTTAAAGAAACAAGTACTTGATAGAAGTTCATAGTTTCACATATAATCCTCTTTCCTACTCCTTATTAAAATAGTTGTGTCTGTTGTGCCAAAGGTACCACCATTCCAGTATCTCAGGTTGACAATCTTGGCCTGGTCCTTTACTCCTCACTCTTCCCTCACCACACTTAACCGATAGCTGCCAAATATTGCTATTTCTGAACTCCACAGAATCTCTTGAATCTGATCCCTTCTCCCCAATTACACCAACCACCAAATTTCAGGTGCTCATCACCTCTGGCCTAGATTACTGCAACAGCCACATAATTGGTCTCCCTGCGACAAGCCTCTCATCACTCCAGTCTATTCTACTCATTGTTACCAAAATCAATTTTATTAAGCATAAATCTGACCTCATGACTCCACTATTCAACCAATTTCAGTGACTTCCTATTGCCTCTAGGATAAAATACATGACTCTTTCTGTTTAGCTTTTAAAGCTCCTATCCAAACTGCCCCCAACCTATCTTTCCTTCCTCATTGGATATTACCCCCCCAGCAGCACTCTGTGACGGAGCCAAATTGGCTTTATTTTGTTCTTCACACAGGACTTTCCTCAAACCCCGTCTCCTATACATGCCTTTTCACTGACTGTCTCCCAGGCCAGAATAGTCTTCCTCCTAACGTTCACCTCAGAGAGGCTCTCTTTTCCTTTAGGACCCAGATCAAGCACCATCCTGTATGAAGCCTTTCCTGATCCCAACGGCCAATGCCCTCCCTCCTAAACTATCTTGTAGTTAACTTCTTTGTATGCATGTATCACACATGTTTATTACATATATACATATTACACTTATATGTAATATGTATATATGCATATATACATGTATACGTGTGTGTGTATGTTTATGTATGTATGTGCATGTATCACTAAGAGTGAAATTCCAAAGACATAAAGGGGGACAATTGGGGAAGGGAACGGGGGGAAGAGAATATGTCTAAAAAGACTGGTGTGGCTGCAAGACAGTTTGCCAACAAGACTTTAAAAAGATAGATAGGTACAACTAGTCATGATGATGTACACTCATGATCCTTCCTTGGGGGAGGCTGAAGATGCTTGATCACTTTAGCTGGAGGTTCTGAGTGGCAGTGCCCTAAGTCAATCAGGTATCTACACTAAGTCAGGCATCAATATGGTGAACGCTGCCCCACTCCGAGAACAGGGGCTATCAGGCCGCCTGAGTCAAGACAAAATGGCCCGTAGCAGAAATTGATCTGGTCAAAGCTTCTGTGCAGATACCCAATGGGATTAGGATTGTAAATGACCACTGAACTTTCAGCCTGAGAGATGGGGAGATCCAGTTTAAAAAAAAATAGGTATGGGGGCAGCTAGGTGGCACAGTGGATAGAGCACTGACCCTGGAGTCAGGAGGACCTGAGTTCAAATCCGGCCTCAGACACATAATACTTCCTAGCTGTGTGACTCTGGGCAAGTCACTTAACCCCAATTGCCTCACTAAAAAAAAAAAAAAAAAAATAGGTAAGGAAAATGGAAGAATGGGCAGGTAACAGAACATTAATCTAAGAATGTGTCACAATCATATAAAAAGAGTGTCAGGAGAATTAACACTGCAAATAACCTGAGGATGAGAAGGAAGTCAAATGTCAAGAAGAAGTGATTTTCAAAAGCTATATTAGGAGAAAGAGGAGGATTAAAGAACAGATGGGACCACATTGTTCATGAGGAATGGGATGATAATTCAGAGGAGACAGAGGACTGAATTCCAATTCTGATTATGGTGAGTTTTTCTCTGCCAAGAAGAATGACTTTTGCAATAAAAATGGCAGAACAAAAATGGCTTACAGGGAGTTGATGCCTTGTTAGTAAGCAAGATAAGTAAGGAGCTAGTAAGAGACCACCTCATGCCCATTCATGAAGCCATGTTGCCTGGCTCAGATGAACTATATCCTCAGGTGCTGAAAGTACTGGCAGATATGATTGATGAGCCACTATCAGGGATATTTGAGTGATAGAAGAGAGAAACAGTTGGACTGGAGAGCAACAAATGTTGTCCCAATTTTCAAAACACTGAAAATAAACAGTCTGCAAACTATAGACTGGCAAGCTCAACACTTATTATTAGCAAAATTCAAAATGTGTCATCAAAGAGATGGTTAGACTGAAGAGTCATGATTACAAAGATCCAGCATCACTTTGTCAAGAATAAATTATCCTAGACTAAAAGTATTTTCATATTTTTCTGACTAATACTAAATGGGTAGATCAGAAGAATATTGCATATACAGTCTGTCTAGGCTTTTGGAAAGTATCTGATAAATTCTCTTATGGTATTCAAATGGAGAGATGTGGACTAGATTCTCTCACCACCAGATAGATTCTGAATGGATAGAATGGCAGCATTCAAAGAGAAGTTTTCCACAGTCTTTTCGAAATTCTCATCCTCCTGACCTATCTCTAGAATATGGCACTGTTAGCCCCCATCCCATCTTAGATACTGTAGTTTCATGGCACAACTCAATCCTGGTTTTCCTCCTACCAGTCTGACTGTTCCTTTTCAAGATTTTTTTTTTTTTGCTAGAGTCTCATCTGTGTTATGCCCCTTATTTCTGCATATACTTAAG